TATTGTACGCTCGATTCGCGCTTCCTACGGCAAATTAATGACGTGGAAGGATCTCTAGTAGTCTTAGAGAACTTTATTTTTTGTGTTGTACTCTCTGCGAGCGCTGGTGGAAGAATGCTCTTCCAACGCTGGAAAGTCGTGGAAGAGCACCCGTGGATGGAGGTAGATTGTTTATTATTGGTCAAGGCACGAATCACCCCTTGGAGGGGGGTGTCTGCCTTGACCCTTGTTGGGGTCTGAGAGGGTTTCCCCAATGGTAGGACCTTTTTATGGCCCTTGTCTCTGGACGCAACATGCACTACGATATCTTTCATAGTTATATTGATCAGCACTTCTTCGTCCTTAATAATTTCCCTGATACGAGACAATTTTTATTTCTTGCATGCCTCGATTTACTCTTATTCGTAGACTTCGATAGCAGAAAACTCAAAGTCTGTTTCAATGTAGAAGATACGAATAACGTCCGTATTTAGCAGATTGTGTACGAAATCTTCACGACGGGTCTGACTCGTTGTTACAGTGCGATGGTCCTTATAAGAGCTACGAGAAAGAATTTATTTCAATATTTCACAATTTTTATAATAGCGTGTGCCTGAATGAAGAAATATATCCAACAATTTCTATTGTAAGCGGCTTTATGACTTCAATAATTATGAAATAGAAAATGTGAAACCGGTCATTCGAACATCCTCGCATCCTGTTAAGGAAAAAATCGTAAGGTGATCGGTGAAATTCTCCGTTGAGAATCGACGAGGGATGAATAAACAGTCGTGGCGATTTACATCGGCAAAGGAGCCATTTATTATACAGTCGCGTGATTCCACTCGCTCCCCCACGAGTTCCCGGCGTGCCCCCCGTCGCCCCCCCCCACCCCACCGCCGCAGTGTCAACACAATCCAGCCAGAAGAAGTATACTTTGAAAGTTTACAACAAGTGTTCCCTCTTCGTAGTTCTCACATCTAAGATACTATGATATCTACAATGATATAATTCTCCTTACACGGCTATACACAGACTCGGCCGGGTCGTGGCTCCCCCTGTTCTACCCAACCCCCTGTCAACCCGCAGTTCTGCCCACCCCTGAACCCCGCGATGACGTCAGAAGACCGCCATATTTTTTTCACTCAATTCCAGCCCGTTTTACTCGACCCGTGCGCCTCTCATCTCTTTAATTCTATTCGATACGCATGTAGGACGCTTCGCAACGCGTGGGCGTCGATGCAACGACAAATCTCACGTCGAAATCATCTGCAAAATGGGAAATAAAGTTCTGAAAAATTCGTGCACGACGGAAGCCCGCTTTCTTCGAATTGCTGCCATTTTTCTCTTTCGATGCACGGCAATCAAGTCTTTGTTGTTTTCAAATGAATCTTAACGTTTCTCGCGCAGTCGCCAGCGAGACGGAAATTATTTACAAAAAATGTTCCTCGCGTTAGAAAAATTGTTGCGTTGTAATACCGACGCGCGATTGCTTGCGCGAATGATTTTCGTTGATAGTTGTTGGAATGCGGATAATTAACTGTTTACAAAAATTATATTCGTTGCTTTCGTGTCAGAAACGATCATTTCGAATTGTTTTCGCGACCAACTGAGGCAGGAACGAAATGGCCGCAATTCTTAGAAGAGGTTGTGCTCTCGATGTTAAGAAATGATTATTGCGAGAACAATCGGGGATGTATCGTAACGAGAATCATTTTCCCGAAGATTCGCCTACGCGTTCGGAAGCGGCCGGCATGTATGTATATATATATACACGAAGTTCCTTTTATTGCTACTTTACAAGATCTGGTCTGACGCCATAGTCCCGACGCAACTCCCCCTCCCCCCATTGACATTCTTCACTTTTTTCGTTCCTTCGTATTTTCTTCTATTTTTCCGTGTGTCGAGCGCCGGACGTCAACCGGAAACGCGCGACCCGCGGGAGAAAATTCGAACGGAGCGTCCAGCCGCCATTTTGCACGCTCTCGGCCGCCCGAGACCTCTCGAAGGAAACAATTCACGCTTGTGTAACATTTCTTAAACTGAATCTAACAAACACGATCCCGAATTCTGTCGATTTTGAGCGACAGAGCGCCCCTTCGGGCGAGCGACAACAGTTTCGCTGAAATCATGAATTATTAAATTTTTCATTGTTAAAGTATTCATTGTTAAATTATTCTTCGATTATTGAGTCTAAATGTAAAATGAATCTAAATGATAAATATCTATTGAATATAAATGTTCGAGGCCTCGAAAATTTCGAGACAAGAACTTCTCGTGAGATCGAGACGAGTCCTTGAAAGTATCTCGCCGGTCGATGTTTCAAACATTTTTTACAATTTCGAGACTCTCAAGAAATCTTGATTTTGGCGTAATTATGCTGCATATATATATATATATGTACAATTACGGTTTGAGTCGACGAATGTTGCAAGAAGTTTAAAACTATTTTATTTGAAATAAGCCTAAACCAATGAAATGACTTTTACCCTAAAACGTCTGAAGCCGCGATACCAACTGCGACACAACCTGTGACTCAAAATCGATAGAAAAAAGGGAGGAAAAGCAATGAAATTCGAATTTTCCTTCGACGAGGTCTGGACTCGTCTCCCAGAATCGCGTTTCCCGCGTCTGCCCGTTTTTCGTCGCGTTTAGGCCGTGCTTTCTCGTTTCTAAAATACACCATGCACACACTCTCTCTTCCCGTCTCTCTCTCTCTCTCTCTTGCGCATTCCACGATCCTCCCTCGATCCTCCGAATGTTGATCCTTGATCCTCCGGTCACGAAACCGCGAACGCAATCGTCCCGAAGAAACACGTTGCGAGTCGAACGGGAACAAAAGTGTGACGTGGAATTCAAGCGAGCCGTCTCTCGTTTTACAAAACAGAGGAGTAATTAGAAGGTTGCTAATTCGATAGTAGTTTGTACTTAACGGTTCTTTTGTATGATAGGGCCTGCGGGGACTAGATCCCTTCGGCCTTGAAGTTGAACAGTCCTAATATGGTAGTCGCCGACGAAACGATTCGTTCAGTCGTCCTGCTGTGTGCGTTGCGGGCGTTGCGCGCCCGTGTGTGTTGCTCTTTGTTTCTTTGTTTCTTGTGTGTGCTCGAGTCATTGTTCTTCCTTTGGTCTAACGATCGACTCAAAACTGTAGAAAAATAAATTATCGGCGAGCGTGGCTCTTGAACGTGATTCGATGAGCTTTGCCGGATGACTCGACGCCGCGACGCAGTCGAACGATTTCTAAAATCTCGGAACCAGTCGTGGAAATACGTTATGGCAGTCTAGTCGCTTGTAAACTAAAGGATTCCCGGTGAACTCTACGTTTCGGAAGTTTTGCGAAAGTTCGGTCTTTTTATGTTTTCGGGCTTTTTATTTACGCTCGCATTAGCATTCTTTGAACCGACGCGATCCGCATTTTGTTAGAGACAGGATTGTTCGAATATTCGGTTTGGATTCTTGATTATACAAAAATCTTGGCTACAAAAATCCGCGGCATAGTGAACGAATGAAAATTCGAGTGCTGTTCGACGTACCGAGAATTTTGTACACAGATTTGACGGTAATTACGTTGCAATTTATTTCTTAATAGAAAAAATTTCTCTCTCGTTGATTCGAAGTTGTTAGAACCGATTCGGCGTGCTTGCTCTATATATCATTTAATTGAAACGATGGCATTCTCTATTGCTTCTCTATTTCTAAAGTAATACATCGATGCCAGACTCCAGAAATCGTTCGTCGACGCGGCGTTGGTTTCTCGATGAGATTCTAAGTTCGACAATTAAATTTGAATAAATTCCTAAGAGAATTCCTTAATAGAACACCGTTCACGGGAAAGTTCAGTGAAATTAAAACTACAGAGACTCCTCCAGCATCCTCCAGCATCGCTGTCAAATATTCGTGCACTTATCTCGACAGTGCAAGATCGTTTTAGACAAATGACAGTCGAAACGAACCTCGCGGTGCTTGTATTTATCATCTCATTCTCTGAACACACGTCTCGATCTACAGAGCGATCCATCTTGATCCGTTCATCGATATTTATAATAAAACACAATGTTCACTAGATCCCGTCGAACCAAATCAAATCAGAATCCAATCTACAAACGATTCCTCGTTACTTTGAAGATACTGATCAACAGTGGACCACCCTGTATGTACATTTGAAATCTCGCAGCTTTTCTCACACGTTTCCATCAGTCAGACTTTAAAAAACAAACTCGAAATATTAATACGGAGCCTTGTCCATAGTGTTTCGATGTCTCCCCACCCCCCGTACCGTCGCGTTTCGCCACGGAATGCTGGATCCACGATGCAGCACGACGATCCTTACTTTCATAGTACCTACGATACACCGATCTGTGATTCACGTTACAACAACCGTGACCCGAGATTCGATTATTACGATAATTACACCGTGAAACCCCGGCTAATATAATAAATACACGCGCGATCGCGCTGGATCCCTCGATCGCCACTCTACCGTCCATTTTCCCGCAAACTCCGTGTCCCAAAAATCAGTCGGGTTCATCGAGGAGATCATCTGGGAGTTCGTTCGTTCGTTACATATTTTCTCAGACGACCTTAATAAAGAGAATCGAGCGAAAGAATGATCGATTAGCAACAACAATGTAAAATGTACAATAAGAAATGATTGAATCGTGAACAAAAGTGCCAAGAATCACAATGATGCTGGAATTGTATTGACAAGAGAACGATCAAGAATTCGAATCGAGTAATAGTTATCACGTTGACTGCCACGTCGACCGACAGAATTCTTTTAACGAACTTGAAAACTAATTTTTACGACAATCTATTCGATGCGCGAAACTTTGTTGCGATTTACGAGATGCAACAGAATTGCAAAAGCAATGACCATATAACAAATCTTGTCTATTCTACAGATTGTTAAACACGTTGTTCTGATTTTGTTGATCTTTTAGGGACACTGGAGTGGCAGTTATCGTGCTTAATGAACACTTCCACGACCGCGCTAGAAACCTAAGAAATTTCATAAAATTAAAGTATCTTATTCAATTAAATTCAAATTGCAAAGCAAACTTATATGGCATCAATTACTTCTTCAACATTCGTACCTCTTGTAAATCTTAATAAAGTGAGGAATTTATAATGTTGATTACCGTAAGAATTAATTGTTAGAAATTAAAGATTAAATAATTCTGTCACTCACATATGGCTGACTCAGCAGTCAAAGTGTTAACAGAGTGTAATTGAAATTGTGTTTTATAAAGGAAGAAAAAGTGTTCAATGAGTTGCGAAAAGCTCCAGGACAAAACTGAGCGATGGCAACAAAAAAAGTAAGCAGAACGCGGGCCACCCATTGTTAAGGTAAAAGTTGAAGATTTCCCCATTTCATCATGGAGCGACTTTATTTAAAACGGGGAGATCTTTCCATTCGTCAAGAAAAAANATCTTGATCCGTTCATCGATATTTATAATAAAACACAATGTTCACTAGATCCCGTCGAACCAAATCAAATCAGAATCCAATCTACAAACGATTCCTCGTTACTTTGAAGATACTGATCAACAGTGGACCACCCTGTATGTACATTTGAAATCTCGCAGCTTTTCTCACACGTTTCCATCAGTCAGACTTTAAAAAACAAACTCGAAATATTAATACGGAGCCTTGTCCATAGTGTTTCGATGTCTCCCCACCCCCCGTACCGTCGCGTTTCGCCACGGAATGCTGGATCCACGATGCAGCACGACGATCCTTACTTTCATAGTACCTACGATACACCGATCTGTGATTCACGTTACAACAACCGTGACCCGAGATTCGATTATTACGATAATTACACCGTGAAACCCCGGCTAATATAATAAATACACGCGCGATCGCGCTGGATCCCTCGATCGCCACTCTACCGTCCATTTTCCCGCAAACTCCGTGTCCCAAAAATCAGTCGGGTTCATCGAGGAGATCATCTGGGAGTTCGTTCGTTCGTTACATATTTTCTCAGACGACCTTAATAAAGAGAATCGAGCGAAAGAATGATCGATTAGCAACAACAATGTAAAATGTACAATAAGAAATGATTGAATCGTGAACAAAAGTGCCAAGAATCACAATGATGCTGGAATTGTATTGACAAGAGAACGATCAAGAATTCGAATCGAGTAATAGTTATCACGTTGACTGCCACGTCGACCGACAGAATTCTTTTAACGAACTTGAAAACTAATTTTTACGACAATCTATTCGATGCGCGAAACTTTGTTGCGATTTACGAGATGCAACAGAATTGCAAAAGCAATGACCATATAACAAATCTTGTCTATTCTACAGATTGTTAAACACGTTGTTCTGATTTTGTTGATCTTTTAGGGACACTGGAGTGGCAGTTATCGTGCTTAATGAACACTTCCACGACCGCGCTAGAAACCTAAGAAATTTCATAAAATTAAAGTATCTTATTCAATTAAATTCAAATTGCAAAGCAAACTTATATGGCATCAATTACTTCTTCAACATTCGTACCTCTTGTAAATCTTAATAAAGTGAGGAATTTATAATGTTGATTACCGTAAGAATTAATTGTTAGAAATTAAAGATTAAATAATTCTGTCACTCACATATGGCTGACTCAGCAGTCAAAGTGTTAACAGAGTGTAATTGAAATTGTGTTTTATAAAGGAAGAAAAAGTGTTCAATGAGTTGCGAAAAGCTCCAGGACAAAACTGAGCGATGGCAACAAAAAAAGTAAGCAGAACGCGGGCCACCCATTGTTAAGGTAAAAGTTGAAGATTTCCCCATTTCATCATGGAGCGACTTTATTTAAAACGGGGAGATCTTTCCATTCGTCAAGAAAAAAAATGATAGATTGATCGAATCGAGCAGAAAACGAGCAGAAAAGATCGAATCTCCGAACTCGATCGCCGCTTATCGAATCTCCGAATTTCCTTGACCCGTGTGTCAGGACTATACTACGCATTTCAGAAGAATGAACGATGGAGCAGCGACGACGGACCCGCGAGAAATTCGAGCGATTCGATCGCCAAGAAACGGCGAGATCGTTGGAGAGAAAATGAAATTCCGAAAATCTGTGTCCACCGGAACGCGGTCCGCTCGGCCGTCTCGGAGAGAGTCCGGCCAATAATGCGCGTGTGTTAGTCGAGTATTAATTATGGTACAGCCACACACACAGCCCCGTGTTCTGTGCTCCTTGATTGAGATCGTAGGAAAGCGTACACAGTCGACGGCACCGATGATCGAGGAAAAAGTCACCGAGAGAAATTACGATTCTCCGCGAGCCACGTTAGGAAATAAGCCCTACCACTAGCTGACCGCTCTCGATCAACCCTCTTAATCACCCGCAAGCTTTCGCGGCGCCTCGATCTTCCTGGAAAATCCCGCGCGATCTACGATCGCGCTGATCGCCGATTCATCGGACGCCGCGCCGCGCAGCCGCCGGTATTAAAAGGGTTAATGTCGAGCGTGCTCGTCGGATCTAGAAAAATAGAGTGACGATCAGCGGCCTACCACAACGATTACGTTCTAGACACCTTCTTAATCTTTATCGATCCTAGAGAATCGCCCGCGATCGATATCCCGTGGGCCCGCGAGATCCAACCTCTTACAAGAAACATTTTCATACGATTTGCGCGAAGAACATTTTAGGTTCTTCGTTTTATTATTAATAGAACACGTGATTTGATCCTTAATTGTTTTAGTGGATTTCGATCCTTAATTTAGTGGATTTTGATCCTTGTGGTGCTTGCTTAGAATGTTCTCGCGAAATAACACGCGGAGAGCCGCTTGGTTACCTCGCTTCTATGTGTGTCGTACGTCGCGTACGTTCTAGATTTCATTAAATTTCTTCGCTTTCTTCGACCTCTGCATGTTACTGTGGGCTTAGACCCGTTCTTTCAATAAATAAATAAATAATTAAATATGTAAGTAAGTAAATAAATAAATAAATAACTAGTTGACAGAGGTTTTCTTAACGACGATGCGACTAGATAAAATTATCTACCAGCTACTGCTAATGAATCGTGCAGTCCTGTTGTAATCGTTAATGTCATCGATTCTTTTACACAGTTTAAATTTTCGTAGCCCTTCGTGAAATAGTCAACAGAAGCTTCCGGGATTAACAAAGTTACGGTAGCAAGATCGGAAACCGTGCGATCCTCCTTAAAATCCAGGTAAAATCGTCGCCTCTTTACGATCGCGACGCTAAGACGCAAGTTTCGCGTGATTTCTTTCGTAGCACGATTTAGGGCACAAACTGGACAGTGTATTTGTTCAAATCCGCAGGCTCGATAACCCTAAAATTTATTGTTCGGAACGTTCGAGCAGTTCCTAACGAGAATATCGTCGAACATTCGGTCTGCGCGGCGAAGGGTGCTCGAAAGCCAGCCACGGATCGATTAAAAACTCGCGAGCCCAGGTGCGATGATCCGAAAGACAGCCCCGACGATCCATCGATCACGGTTCTACGCGGCCGTTTTCTCGTGGAAATCGACAGCGTCTCGCTGCTTTCTGTCCGTGTCGCGCGATTCGCGCCGCCGTCCGCCATGCTCTCGTCCCGTTCTCTATGTAAAATAGGACACTTTTAAAGACCTAATCCTAGTTAAGACAACGCGCGACGCCCGGGTCGCCGATAAAATTAGTAAATTAGTTGAATTAGTTCGAAGAACGTTTTCCCCGTCGATCGCTCCCGGCAACCCCCACACTGGATCCGAGAGCTCTCCCGTCCGATCGATCCCTAAGCCTACTTAATCCTCAATTTGTACCCTGTACTTCGTCTCCGTTGAACACGGTTCGCTCGATCTCGTTTCCTCCGACGTTCAACAACGAACAGCGGCCATGATTCTCCCCGTCGCGTCGCTCGTTCTCCCCCGTCGGAACTGCCATAATCGCGTCCCGGAAGCGTGCCGAACAATTCTCGCAGCCGGAAAAAAGGAACTGTATTGAACCTCGAATCGAATTCGACCGATCGTCCATGGAAATCGCGTCTGGCACCCGGATCTAGGTAATCCTGTCCCAGCCGCGTCCAGATCGCCGTCGATCCCCTCTACTTTCAATGAATCCTCGATCCGCGTGTTCTCGAAATTTCTATCGCCCCCCCCCCCCTCGCGAATCCGATCGAATCTTCGATCCAGAGCTACCCTGGATCCCTCAGCCTGTCCCTGGCTCCGCTGTCCTCCGATCTTCGTCGACCTCCGTCCTGATCGCTGATTCGAGTCCGGTGATCTTGTGCGTGCCATTCTCACTTCGCTGGGCTCGCCTGGAACGGCGAGGACATTTCGTCGCGACGCTGGTGTTCCTTCGATGAACGAGGAAGAGATTTCTTGCGTTGACGTTTTTGTTTTGTTAGAGCCTTCGAGTAGTAGCCTACTGGTAGATGATCGGGTGCGTAGGTTCCACGGGTAAGTCGCTGTCCAGGTTCAAGGACACGCCGTCCTTCGAGACCAGGTAGTGCGTCAGCAGCTGGCCCTTGCCCTTCACGAACACCAGGCCGCGCTGCTCGAACCCGAAGCCGAACGGCTCCAGGATCCTCCTGGTCTCGTCTGTCACCTGTCGTACAAACCGGTCAATCGTTATTTCGCTGATGTATCCGAATTTACGGGTTGGGTCGGGACATTTTCTCGGGTTCGGGTCGACAGCCGAAAAATCGCGAAGTTCGGGCACTCGAGATTTCGGGAAAAATAAATTTCCCGTCCCGACCCGAAGGTTTTCGGGTCTCCGATACACCCCTAAAAATAACGCGGCACTTTCGACTCTTCAGCATTGTGCAAAGTTAGTGCGAGCAGTCCTGTGATACGGGAGAAAATAACCGTTTGCCCTATGACGTCCAATCGGACTTTTCGCGAAGAGACAGCTTAAAAGTTCCTTTCAATAAGCTGGAACATTGTTCCAGTAATTTTGTTATTTGTTCAAGGGAGTGCACCAAGAATATACATCGTTCTTTCAGCAATTGCATAATCTCCGATTGCTCAAGATTCTATATTCCATAGAATATTTTCTGTTTTCGTGACCTTGACAAGAACTGAATACGTCTTACCCGATAACAATAATGCCGAACTATTTTAGCGATTGCATAATTTCTGATTGCTCGATTAAAGTGTTCCACACGGAAACATAGTTATCGATTAAGCGATGATTGCGTAAGGTTGTTGTTGCCGTCGCCGTTAGCGGTTGTTACCTGGATGCAGCCGACCTTCCCAGTGCTCTCCATCCTGGAGGCGACGTTCACCGTGTTCCCCCAAATGTCATAATGAGGCTTCCTGGCGCCGATCACCCCGGCGGTCACCGGGCCGTGATTGATGCCCATCTTCAGGACAAAGTGATTGAAGCTCTGCTCGTTGATGCTGGACAAAGCCTTCTTCAGCTCCAGAGCGAACTCCACCAAAGTGGACAGGTGACCCCATCTAGGCGTTTCCTCGGTGTCCTCGGTATCCATTATGCCTGATGCTGCCATGTACGTCGAGCCGATCGTTTTTATCTTGATGATGCTCTTGAACTTGTTCTGGTCGAGAATCTAGAGCAATTGGGGCGGACGTTAACACGGGATCGACCTCCGCGCAGCACGTTCGGAATTATCTACGCGATCTCCGGGATCAGAGTTGCAACGATTGGAAAATTGCAAAATTGCAACTGGGATCTGCAATGATTGAACTATTGTCCTTGTAGTTACGATTCATGGACCAAGGATTGTCGGTTTAAGGGCAATGGATGATCAAAAGAGTCGAAGGGCAAATTTTAGTTTAGCACTGAAACTACCAAATCAATCAAAATGTCTGGTTCCTCATTTTTTCTCTTACAATTACTGATACTATAAAAATGTTTTTGTCAGAAAAACCTCTCCATTCAAGCACATATTATAATAAAAATCGAAGGAAGTTGAAATAAATCCAATCCTGCCATTGTCATAAAACAGTATACATTAGTCACGTTTAGGATTTGGTAGTTTTAGTGTTAATGATGATCACGAAGAGCAAGCTCTATGGCACGTTAAAAATGATCGGAGCTGTTAAAGCGTTGCTATCTGAAGGGGTACTGTCTAACAAGTATAAATGATTGACGGGTTCTAATTAGCCGAAGGGCGAAGGGTGTATGCGCTCACCGCGTCGAAGTCTGAGATGACCTCGTTGAGGAACCTGAGGCACTCGAGGCCCTGGTTGTTGATGCTCTCCTCGCTGTAGAAGTCCGCGAAGTTCGGCATGCTGGCGAACAGCACGCCCACTTCCGAGTAGCTCTGGCTGTATAGGTCGTCGTGGTGTCTCGCCCTGCTGAGGAAATAGGCGGCCACATGGGGCGGAAGTATGTTGTATATCAGGGCGCCATTTCTACGCTTCATGTCCGCCACCCTTTCCCGCTGCTCGACCACCTCGCGGCCACGGAGGTACAGCATCCTCCGTGCCTTCTCCGCCTGCAACGATCGATCGAGTCATCTTCCAGTCATCGGAACCAACGTCGGGGAACCTCCACCCCCCTGTTAACCTTTCGACGTCCGATGTCCCTCGTGACCCACGCAACAAGGGTTTTTTTAGCTGCGCGCTCCCCTTCGTGGATTCACGCGGATCGCTATAGGACACCGTTGTCCGCAGAAAGAACTGTTTCTCAAAAATAATCTTCGCGCGACGATTCATTTCTCCCCTCCCATTTTCTTCATACCACGGATCATTTTTTTTTTAATATTCTGTTCATCGATTTATCGAGCTTTGCGGGGGGAACATTGTTTCGAATTTCTTTCGATATCTTTTTTAGTTCACAAATTGTGAAGCGGGCGTGAAAACTATCTCCATTTCGCAACTTGTAAATTAAATACACTTGCAGACAAAACGATTAACGATAATATTCATTGAACTGTAAACGAAAATATTAATTTTATTTATTTTGGTATTTCTCGTATCTATTTTAAATGTTAAAAAATCCTTTTTCATTTTTATTATTGTTTTATTTGTCTTATCGCGATACAAACAATGTATTAAATGCTTCGCTACAATTTGGTAGCATTCTATTTATTAAAATATCAAATTTCACTCAAACGTTAACGATATGTAAGGTTTCGTAACATTTGTCGGTAAGTGTATATAAAAAATAAATGTTTCAACAAAAACTTCGGCCCTAGCATCGAGCTCTCCAAAAGACGCTAAAGGAATGTTGGTAGAAAATATCGTTATTGAATTAATATTAGCCCCACCCTCCCTTCTATTTCATCCTGTGGAAGATCACCCTCTCGAAATTCTTTCCCCGCGGACATCCTGACCTTCTCAAAGGCCACGAAAATTATTAATTCATAGTTCGCGCGTAAATATACGGGCTGACTTTTCCGAAAAGGGTGTATTTTCCCCCGAAGCGCGATCAAAGTTTCCCGGACTGGTTCAACGAACAATTATGCATAGTTGCGGGGAACCCGCCGGGAGAAACGAGAGCCAGTGGTGGTTTTTCCAAGGGGTTGTAGCGACGGTCTGTTCGATCCACGGACGGGTTGCGGCAATTAGGTTCGATATAGCGGGAGGATTCCGCCTCGATTTAATTCGCGGAAGTGTAGCGGGCGTGTGTACACTACCCTCTCGATGAATAAAATGTTGACGGACAGGGTTGAAGCGTTTCGGGGATGAAGAATGGATACTCGAGCCTCGGGACGAGCACGTCCTCGACTCTGATGAATTTGTCGGTCGGCTCCGTGCTAGGGAGATCGATTATTCATTTCCCTTCGCAACCCGGGGTGGATATTCCTCCGGCAACCCCTCGGTACGATTTTATTCCGTTCTTGGAATCTCGAACCGCGGTTTCCGTGTCCTAGCGTTTTAATTGGCAATTGATTTCTTATGTTGAAACGACTTCCAGCAATTCTTCGCTAGCGACAACAGATATGCGCCTATTGTTTACAACTTATAAATTGAAGAATTTTCTTTTCTTTTTATTAATTCAATATGCATCGGGCCATTTTCAGGCCAAGCAGCAGATTTGATGTAATTTGATATGTCGTGCATAAAGGAACGATTGACAATTAGCAATTAACAATTGGAAAGGTCTACTGATTTCGATCTTTTAAGTCTTCTGATTTTCCCTCCATTATTGACGAAGACAAGATCGTTGGGGTAGATTGAAGAATGAAATGGAAAATTAAGGACCATCAAAACCGTTCGGAGATCGATTTCCAAAATCCAAAAGCAATTTCTGCTAAATGATCACGAATTTCCACCATTCGTTTACAATCTGTAAGCCGAATCTTTGTAATCAAGAAATTTCAACCGTTCGACGATCAGATTCCAAAACGCAGGAACCGCGGGTCGTTCCCATGATCAGACAATGGATTCAGGAGCAACGTTGATTTAACGGACGAGGTATGTTGGCACAGGATAACTCGAACGATCTAATTACTCACATATCTCGCCACGATGACCAGAGCAGTGGCTATGATGAGCAGCGTCGTCGAGAGGCAACATTTCGAGGGGTAGGTCGTGGGGTCGAGGGGCGAGGATGCATGATCCTCCCAGTCCAACCGCGGCCCGAGTAGCCAGATGTTGATGAAGCACTGGAAGCCTGCGATGCCATACATCAGAGTCGCCTTGCCGAGGTAGCAGATGTAGGTCGGCATCGAGATCGCTACCAGGGTGAGAACGCCGATGTAGGAGTAGTAGGATGGGTACGGGCACCTCGGCGATGGGGTCACAGATGCGTTCAGAACGGGGATTGGCTCCTGGATCACCACACAGTTGCTCTGCGAATGAATAGTTTATTAGGCTTTTAGTCTGTTTAGACGCTGACTCGGAAGTTCGGATTCATCGCAGAGGGTGGCTTCGACATCGGGTCCCATCTCGAAAGGTTGGCTCTGACTTTAGATGGTAGGCGTGATCCCACGAGCTGGCTTAGGGGGATATATTTACCCTTGGAACTTAATTGAAAAATTAATCCCAGGAATTGGTTTCAACGAGAACCTCGAGGCTGGATCTGATGGTACAGCGGAACTTCAGTTATCCGAATTAATCTGGGACACGTGATTGTTCTAATTGTATCTGGTTGCTGCGAAAGTAATTTCGATTTTCCAAATAAACAGTTTACGAACAAATCGAAATTACTTTTGCAACAAACCGGTAATAATGCTATAATAATGTACATTTAATATTAACAGCTTTTGACTTCAACCCCTGGAAGCTAATTCTAAACATCGATTCGGTTTGTGCGGCTACTTTAAAAATCGGAAAATTCGATCTAAAAATTGTATCATCAGGATCCAAGTAGGACTTCGATCGACTTATCGATTTCTAATATCGCTGAAGGTGGCTCACCATGTCCAGCAGCAAGAACACCCCAAGAGAGAACGTCATCAGCAAAGCCAGGGCGGTTCTGAGCCACATGGCCTTGACAGCGCCGCCTAAACAGGTGGCACCTGCCAACACGACCCCGAAGAGCACGACCACCCCCAAGCCGCCCCACGTGAACGGTCCCCAGGGCTGAAACCTCCAAACCGGAGCGGCACAGATCATCGCCAACGGGCCGCCGATAAGGGACAAAGGTGAGAAGGCTTCTTCGGCGTGATGGAATAGGTACTCCACTTTCTCGTCCTTGAACCTCAGCGTCAACCAATGAGTGTGCCCCTTCAGGTCTGCTCCGCCTCCTATGAACCCAATTAGCTTCGTTAATTAGATCTATCAGCCGTAAAGAGGCTGACAACCCGTTGACATTGGGGACAATCTGGCCCCAAGTGGTCTGACACTTCCTTCATCTGACACAGGTGTTCTTTATCGGTCGGTGGCGCGGGACGTTTCTAGATCGAGCTGTATACGTTCAGTTCGCGCTGATTGTTCAATCGTTTTGATATTATCGATTTGTTTTCGATTCTGAACGAGTAGTCTAATAGTTTCTGTAGCTGAAAGGTGATTTATAATTTTTCAAATAATTTTTGGCGGTAGGCAGTTTATACCCTTATTATAAGAGTACACTTTATACCCTTGCAGTTGGCAAGGGTATAAGATCTCTTGATACCTAGTACAACAATGCCTTTGTTACTGAGGAATCTATGAAGGCTACCTATTCATATACCGTTTAGAATTTTTTATCGTAGTTTAAGGCAGTTGGTTAAACACTTTTTTTTTTAATGAAAAAGGATCTATTTTCATCCAGGTAAATAGCCTAACTGGAACCATCAGAATACTTTTGCTACCTGCTGCTGCTGCTACTTCTTCTCCTATCATTTAGAAATCTTTACATTGGACAATCTAGCTCAAGATAGTTGATGAAGCAATTTTTCTGAACGAAAGAAGATCTATCCTCTTCCAAATAAATATTCTAACTGGTACCATGATGGTACCTTTGCTACCTAGTTCACTATGATGACTACTTCTTCTCCTATCATTTAGAAATCTTTACATTGGATAATCTAGATCAAAATAGTTGATGAAGCAATTTTTCTGAAGGATAGAAGATTTATCCTCTTCCAAATAAATATTCTAACTGGTACCATGATGGTACCTTTGCTACCTAGTTCACTATGATGACTACTTCTTCTCCTATCATTTAGAAATCTTTACATTGGATAATCTAGATCAAAATAGTTGATGAAGCAATTTTTCTGAAGGATAGAAGATTTATCCTCTTCCAAATAAATATTCTAACTGGTACCATGATGGTACCTTTGCTACCTAGTTCACTATGATAACTACTTCTTTTCCTATCATTTAGAAATTTTTACATTGGACAATCTAGCTCAAAATAGTTGATAGAACAATTCTTCTGAACGAAAGAGAATGTACATTCTTCCAAATAAATATTCTAATTGGAGCAATTGTTTTTTAATGAAAGAGGACCCAACTCTTTTAGGTAAATAGTCGAGTATACCTTTGCTATCGAGCTCCTTGCGCAGCCTCTGCCTGAACTCCTCGGAGTCCTCCTTGTTGTTCCTGGTGTCCATCGTTTTCCTAGTGTCTTCCGCGTCCGTCAAGGACGCGAGGCTCTTGGTCACGGCAGGTTTGAACGGTTTCAATGCCCTGACGATGAAGTAGGTGACGATGCCCGCTTTCTGCAACGCCTCCTCCCTGTCCTCGCCGTGGGCCGGCTCGACCTCGAACTCCCCGTTCAGGAAGCTGAGCGTCGCGTTCGAGATGTGCACTCTCCTTCGAGTATTTATTCAGCCGGGTTATTTGCAAGTCGGCCATCTTGTTTACCGGATCCCTCGCTCCGATCGTTCCAGCTTCGGCCGGTCGTCATTTTTGCAAGGAGCGAGGGATTCGGACGGCGATAAAATCCGGACGAATTCTTCGTTTAAAAATAGTCGACGAAATTAATTATTAGTGCGAGTTATCAATTAAGTCGTTTATGCAGTCATGGAACGACAATTAATTGCTTCTATATCGAAACCTGGATTTTCATTTGGATCCCGTGGAGGTTCTACTTTTAACTTTAGCTGACCGGCCTCGCTTTATTTGACCAAAACTTCATTTTGAAGTGAACAAATCTTTTTAGGTTACGTATACTATTTTCGTCAGACTCAAAGGTACTGAAGAATGATAAATAGACCGCGGATTTTACGTATTTAAAGCAAAATAGAATAGTTGCAATTGGAAATATTACAAAAATATTAAGAGAATTTTGAAACGTCAATGTATTATTATTACTCTATTAAACTATTATGTATACTATTTTCGTCAGACTCAAAGGTACTGAACAGTGATAAATAGACCGCGGATTTTACGCATTTATAGCAAAATAGAATAGTTGCAATTGGAAATATTACAAAAATATTAAGAGAATTTTGAAACGTCAATGTATTATTATTACTCTATTAAACTATTATGTATACTATTTTCGTCAGACTCAAAGGTACTGAACAGTGATAAATAGACCGCGGATTTTACGCATTTATATCAAAATAGAATAGTTGCAATTGGAAATATTACAAAAATATTAAAAGAATTTTGAAACGTCAATGTATTATTATTAATCCATTAAAATGATTAAAGATAGAAAGAACGTTAAGCTTCTATTTCATGCAATTGAAGCAGACAATGTTTATCTTGCACAAAAATCCAGAGTCCCGTGAAAAATCATATTTTTATAAATCATCCATCCGGATTTCTACTCGCGCAGCAAATTTGTTTAGCAAACGTCGTGATGCCAAGTGCATAAAATGAACGAACAAACACAACATATTGTTCCTAAGCAGATATTTGTTCAAATCGATGAATACTGTCGGTTTCTAAATTGATTAAAAGAGTCGGCGGCGCAAATAGCATTGCACTGTTAGACTTCTGAACAGGTCGATGACGATTCAATATCGAGAATGTTGAAGATAATGGCGCAGGAGGTCTGAGCAATTTCTCGAAGACCGATTCGCGGTGTTACGAGATAGTCTAGGTTGACGCAAAAATAGCCGGAGGAATTGTTTTAGCCGGGGCTTGAAGTGAATGGGACGGCGAGGTGAAAATGAGGGGACGGGTTGATTCAGACACCTCGCCCTTTAACACGGCCCGCTAAAATAGACGAACGGCAGCGCATTAAAAACTGCTCGCCGGGCGCGTTTCGCTAGGTAATTAATGTCAAAGATATACAGGCGGACGTGGCCCCGTTCATTGTGTGCTCGCGAGCATCAAGGACGCGTTTTATGCGCCGCAGCATCGAATTCGCATTAGTCCTTTCGATACATCGTTTCCTATCGGCCATTACGTGCCTCGTCCACGGAAACAAAAGACTCGACAATTTACTATTTCTCCACTGGCCGTTGATTATTTTCCGAGAAATTCCTCCCAACCGGCGATTAAAAACAGCCTCGATTCGCATAAAAAAGAATTGTCTCCATTTATTCGATCGCTTCACTCGTTCTTCATGAATTTCGTTAAGTCGCACGTGTTTCCCGCTCCTCGTCAAAAAATACAAAAAAATGGTTTTCTTCCGGCGAGCAATTTTCCAATAATTAATGTTTTCGCGGTACATCGTTGACGTCGGCGATTAAAAAGCCGCAGCCCCTCGAAGAACAGTAAAACGAGCAGTCTATATTTTTGTTGGTTATTTTGTCCTTTATTATTCTGCTCGACAAGGCGAATTAATTGATAATTATTTGCTGGACGCGGCAAAGAGAGGAGAGACCAGTTTCGAGTCAAAGTCGAACGATTCCGCGACGGGGGTTTTTCGATTTCGGGGTCGTGGCATGCGAGGCGGAGATAGCGTAAGTCGGCCCGGGCCACCATTTTTATTTGCCCGGTAATAATGGAAAGCTCCACCTCCTCCTCCTCCTCCTCCTCCACTTTCCTCCCTCGCGTCGCCGGAGAGATTACCCTCTAGAACGGCGCGGAGTAAAAATATTGAATTCGAGCTTTAAATACACGCTTCCTACACCGTCCATTTAATAACGGCTTCTATCTGATAACTATAACAGCAGACGTATCCTCGATACGTGTAACTATGCTAAAATTAACCAGCCGCCTGTCGCCCGATTTACTATTTTCACACGGGTCGAACCGGTTTCCTGCGTTTATAGAACATTCGAACCTCGAGAACGAGCCGGCTCGGCCGCCATTCATTAAGGTAACCTGCTTCTTTCCTCGCTTACGAAACCTCTCCAACCGGCGAATTATTTTCTTCTCGTTTCTACTCGTATTACGTGTCTTATCATCGTTCATTGAGTTCTCAGCCTTTGCTGGCAACGAATTTTTAGTCGTTCTACTTCAAAGCGATTTTAATCGTGACTATCATAATTTAACAATTATCTGCATGCGTTCTCTATAATGAATTCAATTTTTATGTACCTTGCATGGAATTAATTTTCGCGAATGTGTACAGAAACTTCCTATTAGTAAATATTTATTATTAGTATTAGTATTAGTATTTATTTAGTATTAGTAAATATTTTACAATTGAAATTGCCTTAAAATCGAACGAGATAAAGATTTTCCCTTCTTCGGAGATTGCATTGAATTAACCCTTTGCAGTCGAAGCTGTTTGAACTCGAAATCCAAAACATGATTTCTGATCTACAGTATTTCTATTTTATATAATTTATTGCGATTTATGCATATGAAATTGAGCCTATTGCAGCAAGTACAATGCAATTTTAAGTTTTTTAAATATATAAACGAGTCTGATGCTCTCAAAATGATTTTGAAAAATAGTATACCAATTNAACCGGTTTCCTGCGTTTATAGAACATTCGAACCTCGAGAACGAGCCGGCTCGGCCGCCATTCATTAAGGTAACCTGCTTCTTTCCTCGCTTACGAAACCTCTCCAACCGGCGAATTATTTTCTTCTCGTTTCTACTCGTATTACGTGTCTTATCATCGTTCATTGAGTTCTCAGCCTTTGCTGGCAACGAATTTTTAGTCGTTCTACTTCAAAGCGATTTTAATCGTGACTATCATAATTTAACAATTATCTGCATGCGTTCTCTATAATGAATTCAATTTTTATGTACCTTGCATGGAATTAATTTTCGCGAATGTGTACAGAAACTTCCTATTAGTAAATATTTATTATTAGTATTAGTATTAGTATTTATTTAGTATTAGTAAATATTTTACAATTGAAATTGCCTTAAAATCGAACGAGATAAAGATTTTCCCTTCTTCGGAGATTGCATTGAATTAACCCTTTGCAGTCGAAGCTGTTTGAACTCGAAATCCAAAACATGATTTCTGATCTACAGTATTTCTATTTTATATAATTTATTGCGATTTATGCATATGAAATTGAGCCTATTGCAGCAAGTACAATGCAATTTTAAGTTTTTTAAATATATAAACGAGTCTGATGCTCTCAAAATGATTTTGAAAAATAGTATACCAATTTTTAGTGGCGCCTCAGAGTCGCCATTCGAGTGCAAAGGGTTAAAAATGTAGTAGTATCCGTTGGGTTTATAGGTTAGTTTTTATTAACGATTATTTTGATAGATTATATGGGAGTATAATCAACAAAATTAACTTTAGTTTAAAATTGACATTAAAACTAGATTCACGGTGCAATAAGAACGGCTATTTTATATTATTTCATAAATGCAACAAGAGTACATCTGTTCGGAATTTTAACGATTTTTATTGTAACATTTGTTTCGAGTAACAAATTTATTGAATGAATTCCTCGTGAATATATTTTTAGTTTTAACAATCGCTAGTGTTAAGTATCGAATTTTGTCGCGTGAAACAGTAGGGTATTTCTATTGTAAGGGATGAAAGTCGAATATTCGAAGCTGCGCATTTTTCTGAATAAAATGTCCAGTGATAATTTATTGTTACAAACTCACCCCGCCATTCCACTGCTCTCCATTTTGTTCGCCAGTTCGACGTCCTTGCTGTAGACGTCGAATTGCCACTGTCTCTGACCAAGAACACCAGCCAGCACTGCGCCGGTGTGAATGCCCACCCTCATGTCCACGGGGCTTTTCGTCGTTTGCTGGACGTACTTGATGGCATCAACCATAGAAAGTCCCATGTACACGCAGAGTACAGCATGATCGGGCCTCTCAACCGGCGCTCCACTTATACAATAGTAACAGTCGCCCAGGATCTTAATTCGCAGCTGCTCGTATCTGTAAAACGGTCGAATGAATCGTCGATCGTGTCGCGGTCACTCGAAAAGATCTGACGAAATTTGCAACCGAATCAAGGCACAGTCTAAATAGAAATTTCGTTGCTTTTGGTATCTTCACTGTGGAAAACCTAGCTAAATTCATTTAACGTTGTCACACTGTGACGAAATGTCCCGCGCTTTCTTTTTCTGGAAAAGTAATATTTGGAGGCAAGATATCGAGATCTAACAAAGAAAACAATGTTCTAGAATGTTCAAATTATATTCACAAATTTTTGGGTCTCAATCGTTAGTCCAGTTTTTGAAACATGAACTGAACTGAGTGACCTAGTATGGACATGACACTCCCTTTAAACATTGAATAATATAAATTTTGAATATTTTAATTTTCTGCCTGGAAATAATTTACTGTACATTATAATAAGCAACGCTGCTGTTCGAACGTTTTAAAACGACGTCACTCTTGTGTCACATTTGACCCTGTACCCGCGTACAAGTCCGAGGGTAAAACACCCGATTCAAAATAGAAGCGAATTATCGAGCCCTGCGAGGGTCCACTAGAGTCACCCGAGTCCACTAAAACGAGGAAGTGCACTCGAAAAAAAATTAAGAACAGTGTCTAATTATAACGTTAGCAGAACCGAACTGCCGTGTCGTCTCAGATCGGCTAAATGTCAGTGGCTGTATTTTCGGCTGCGACGCGCTCGAGTAATTTTTCACAGTTAATAAAAAGTCACATTCCTCTCTTGAATTAGAATCGCGTGGACGGAGTATTATTAGAAAATTGGTCGACGGAAAGGACGCTGGCCGAACAAATTGGTCAATTTGCCGGCGCGATCGCCGAGGATTCTCTCGTTCGGCTCCACTCGCTTGTTATATTTTATTTACCGATGCAAGGTTTTTTCTCGCGCGCTAAGGGCTCATACAAAATAGAACCGATGCTATAAATACGTAGACGTTTTAATTAGAAGCGGATAAAGGGCAAGGTTCAGCGCAAGTATGCGCCGTTTCGAAAAACCTTACCGCTCGTTCCCGCGTATTTATGCGCGTCTAACGTAATTATTTATAGAACGACCTCATATTCAGAGCGAGAATCCTCGGCGGGCGTCAAAGAGGATATATCAAAGAAATATTTCATTTAATAACCATCGGCGGGGCAGAGGCTCCGTCTCCGCTTCGGCTTGCTCTCTCGGCGAGCTTTTTTCCAGTGGAATAAGGACAAGGCTGCCGTATCATTGACTACGCTACTGTGTGGCCGCCTCTGATTGAAATCATCGCCTGGAAACAGGGCGGAGTGGCGACAATTTTATTACAGGCAAGGAAACAAAGACGGTCTAATCCGTTTCGCCTCGATTACGCCGGCTCTGCTCGCTTCTTTCGCTCCCTAACATTCAATCAAACCTTCTGTCAACTGATCCAAATGAAAAGCTGGACTGCAAGAGAGTACAAAGAACGCCTTACCATCGGGGATGCTTTTCATTCGCCATTTGCGCTCCTACAACGACTGACAAAGAGCTAATTATTCAGCTCAGATTCAACGCTTTTGCGCTCGCGACAGCAATGCCGTCGTCCGCTGCCGGGATTTTTATTTTAGTTGCGAATGCGACACCGACGTTGTTTTCTCGTCTTATACGCTCTATTTCGCCCTCTCTAATTCAAACCTCGTTTAACACATTCACGGCCAAACCTGGTTGAAAGAAATCTGTTCTACAGGCCAATATTTCTTTTTAGAAAAATCGTACCGAGAGTTACCATGAAGATTTGTCCGACATTTGAAATTTAAACGTGATTTATCTCACTTATATAATTTATATAAATTTTTGTAAGAGAACATTTATAATTCAGGAAAACCTTTCACAATTCATAGAAATTTTTGTAAGAGTGCATTTATAATTTAGGTACACCTTACATAATTTATATAAATATTTGTGAGAGAATATTCAGGATTTAAATAAACCTTACACTATTTATAGAAATTTTTGTCAGAGGACATTTATAATTTAGATAAATCTTGCACAATTTATATAAATATTTGTGAGAGTACATTCAGGATTCAAATAAACTTTACACAATTTGTATCAATTTTTGTAACAGAACGTTCAGAATTCAAATAAACGTTACAGATTTCATATAAAATTTTGAAAGAGGACATTTATAATTTAGATAAACCTTACACAATTTATATACATTTTTGTGAGAGAACATTCAGGATTTAAATAAACCTTACAAAATTTATAGAAATTTTTGTCAGAGGACATTTATAATTTAGATAAATCTTGCACAATTTATATAAATATTTGTGAGAGTACATTCAGGATTCAAATAAACTTTACACAATTTGTATCAATTTTTGTAACAGAACGTTCAGAATTCAAATAAACGTTACAGATTTCATATAAAATTTTGAAAGAGGACATTTATAATTTAGATAAACCTTACACAATTTATATACATTTTTGTGAGAGAACATTCAGGATTTAAATAAACCTTACAAAATTTATAGAAATTTTTGTGAGAGAACATTCATAATTTAGATAAAATTTGCACAATTTATAAAAGATCAATACAATTCATATAAAACTCGTACAATTTTTGTAAAATTCATGAATGGTATAATTATTCGAAACGATCTGCGACCGTGTTAGATGTAAAAGTGAGGCAAGCCGTTGGAACTTAGACATAAAAATCGTGGCCGAAAGCGGAGCACAGCCGGGGATAGGATCGATCGATCGCCGACAGAGGCATCGGCGGATGAAGAATTGGCTCGTTTACAGTCCGCTCGACCGACTCGAATCGAATCGTCCGCGATCCTCCGGTTTATCGTCGCACAATGAGCATCCTCGGATCGCCGGCCGCGAAATTGACTTTATCGGGAGATTCCGGCGAAGTCCTTTCTCGGTCTCGTTACGCGAGTCCTTCACGGCCGTCTCTGGCAATCGATACGCCCGGGGACAAAGTGCTATCGTTGCACTCTTTTTCGTTCGAACAGACGAAATCCTAATTGCGTTGTAGAAACGGTCCTGGTCGCCGGGGTCCCCGAGACGTTCCCTGGACATCCTGATCGTCGCGTGTCGTTCGGAGAATTCGCAGGAAGTTACACGATTTTTCTACCCCTCGAAGAACCAAGAGGATTCTTTCCTCTCTCGTTACGCGTGACTCAGAATGAATTAGCTTCGATTTGGGATCTTAAATACTCTTAAATATTCTTCAATGAACGTGGAAAACATTGCGACAAGAGTGGAGGAGATCGAGATTCTACAAGGTCCTCAAAACAGTGAAAATACTCTCTCAAAGAATTTAGGGACACATTATTTTCAACTCACTGAAATTTTTAAGAAAGGTACGAAATTTCTATTTGACTCGTGTCTAGTGTAATTGATGATTAATTTCTTCATTTTCTAACATATCCCAATCTGTAAACCAATTAATAATCTGTTATAACTAGATCGCGGATTATATGCATTTATGGCAAAATTTGATAGTTGCAATTTAAGATAGCAGACGCATTGAGATAATTGTAAAATGTCAATGCATTATGTTCAAATTATTAAAGTTATTGAAGAAAGAACGAACTTGCTGTTTAGTTCACATTTGTTGCAATCGACGAAGACAATTTTTATTTTGCATAAAAATCCGCAGTCTGGTTATAAGCGAATTGTTTACAATTGAACGAAGAAAGCATTACTATCGTTACCTTTCGCTGAGTTGATCGAACCTCGCGAACAGCTCGTTCAATATCTTGACCAGCTCGCTGGCGCTATACGTCGACGAGATCGCCGTGAAACCGACGATGTCGGCGTAGAGGATCGACACGTTCTCGTGCCTGGACATATAGATCTTCTTGAACTGGGTGTCCATCGCGGCGCCGAGGTCCTGCCGCATTTTTACAGCGACGTGCTCGGGAAGGACGCTCAGGAGGAGCCTTTCCTGCTCGGCGCTTTGCTCTTCGATCACCAGCTGCACCTCCAGGCTCTGTCTCGTCTCCAGGAACGCTCGACGTTGCTGGAACTCCGTCAAAGAGTAGCTGGAGACGCCCAGCAACATGGCGCCGAGCGACAACGTCACCGTCAGGACCTGACGAAACATTTCAGAAAATATCCTGACGGATTAAATATGCCTTCGTTAACTTTTACTGACGTTCTATGAGCTAAATAGTGTCACAGATCGTTTTACGTGTGATCTATGCTATGTTTTTGACGAGTTTAGGGATTTTGGAGATTGTCAATCCTGGAATATTTTTCTTTTAATAAGAGAGCAGTTTTCAATTAATCCTTTGCACTCGAATGGCGATTTTAAGGCGTTGCTAAACATCGTTTCATCATTTTCAGAAGAATTTCTACATCATTAAAGATTGTATAATGTTTGTATTCAATAAATTGTTAAACACTAGAAACGACGTATGATCGAATAGGCTCAAATTCGTATTCATAGAACGAACGAATCGCATAAATTGTTTTAGAGTTAAGACAGATTCGAGTGCAAAGAGTTGAAAGTGTTTTTATCGTTTTTTAATCGTACAATTATATTTTTTAGCATTATTTCTTATCATTTTTCGGTGAATTTACTCAGAACCACGGTCGCCATCTTCGTTAGTATTTTCTATTGACCTTCGATCTCGACCGAGGAAATATGTAAGATTTGTTAACATTTCGTCGAAGATGATTATTGAACATTTGTCACTTTTATATGATTTCGTATATTCCCTATATTTTATTTTTCGGTCGAGGGTGCATCAACTTTTTCCTAACGCGTTTAATTCTTATCGTATTTAACGTCGACAGAGTCTGTTCCGCGAGGCGACTTATGAATAATCGCGGGACGAAGTTGTAGAGGCGGCACAAGGAAAGTTGAATCGATAATTTTATGGACTGTCTGTAATCGCAGTCGCGGATGAATCAGAGGAAGATACGGCGCACGTTAATAATTCGCGAGCACGCGATCCGATGCAAATGAGATGCTCATGAATAGACCGCGGATCTTCGTGCGGAATAAAAAATGTCTCCATGAATTACAAAAAAAAAACCGGGACGCATACGAAAGCGTGCATCATCCTTTAATCATTTTAACGAAGTGAAAACAACGTAACAATATTCTTACGGTTTCCCGATATCTGCTCTGTATTTCACTGATCCATTTTTACCATAAATGCATAAAATCCGCGGTCTACTCGTGAATAAAAGAAATCCCTTCCCATTGGAAAGCTAAGAAACCTGCGCCGGATACGCTCAATAAAACGACACCGTTTTCAAAGCGGCGGCAAGAAATAATACGTGGCTCGGCATAGAATAGGGGAACGCACGGGCCGTGAATTGAATTCCCGTTGAATAATCTTGCTCCCACGTTCCATTATAGTTTCGCTCTTCCTGGGAGGAAGACCATCTTTCTCTGCAATTTTGTTCACTTTGGTTTCCCCTTATTACCAACCGTCCTGCAATTTTTAACTTAATCCGATTCCGAGTGACGTGAAGATAGGAGTACATCCAGCTTCTCGTTCTTAGTTTAATGCGAAACAAGCAAATCCGACAAAATGGAGAATTTCAGATTCTCTGTTTTACAAATCGCTGCTTTAATTCACTACTGAGATAAATAATGAGGACTAAAACAAAGGGCATTTAATGTTTCATTTTCACAATAATAATTACATTCGCGACAATAATGAAATATTATTGTCACTAATCTTTTCATTAGTGTATATTGAAATAAAAATGAAATAAATATAGATATAAATAAATATAATAAAAAGAAATCTCTATAAATATACAGATATTTTAATATGTTATATTTTATTAAATTTCTCTCCATTTTGAGAGAAATGGTCAATACTGCCGAAAAGTCGCATAACACTAAACAGAGCTTACAAAAATCAAATCAATCGGTTAGTTAAAAAAAAATGCACCAAAAATTACCAGCAATGCCTGGCGCCGCTTTTAACAACGAACGGGTTAAATCGGCAAATGCTGCGAATAGTATCAAAATCCACGTATCTTCATTTCAAGCGATTACAAGCCACGAATTTTCGACGTCAGTTTTTCTTTTTTTTTTACCTTTGTCCGTAGCACGAAGCACCGTGCAAACCAAAGATAATAATCGGGACAACAGAGGGTTAAAGGTATTGTTCGAAGCAATTTCGGCCGCGCGGAAAATTCGCACAATGGCGAGGTAACGATTGCTAAAACAACGCGACGGCAGGTGCGGAACAAAGCCGTCCGGGTAGTTCAAAGTAAATGAAATTCGCGTGAAAAAGCATTACGCCGATCGCGTGTCTCTCGAGTGTTTACTCGCTCCCTTGACCCAGAAAGTTTCCCCGCGTTTTCGTGCGGAGAGCGGCTCCGCGTAGCGTCGCGACGAATCCGCGAAATTAACGCCGCCGTCTGTCGATAGCCGCGGAGCCCTTAGACTCCTGTGCTTCGGAGCGCGGAGAGCTGCCGGAGATATGATAAAAGCGTCGCTAAATTTCCGTGGAAGCCGGCGCAGGGATCGATAAGCCACTTCTGTTCCAGAACCGGCCGCGTTCGGCTCTGCCGGCGAATCGCGCAACGTCGCCTGCGCTCAAAAATCGAAAAACCGCATCGCAATTAGCCGCAGTCGTCTCGTTTGCTCGATGAGGAAACGCTACGACGCCACGATATTTCCAAATTAATCTGTCGTTCTCGAATCTGCCGATTTTATCCGCGTTCGATTTTTTAAGACGTTCCTGAAGAGTGCGCGCTGAATTATTTAACCCCCGACGGACGTCACACGTTCTTGTCTGAAGTATAATTTTGCGTTGGTGGTGACGTACACGTCCGATGAAGGTCGAAGCTAGCTCCGAAACCAAGACAAATCGTCGTACTTTTATGGTATTTCTATCGTGGATAGAATTATTTCTATTTCTCTATTATTATTATATATACTGTTATATATCTGTTTCTATTATTTCTATTATTATCATAATAATATTTTTTATTATTATTATTATCATTATTATTATTTCCATTTCTATTATGATGGTATTGTGGACAATTCTATGGTAATTTTATTTTCTACGATTATATCTATTAAAAGATTGGTCCTATTAAAAGAAATATAAATGTTCGGATAACAGCGCAACCACTTAATTATAGTAGTAGATTACGTTTTTATATTCGTTTGCATAATAGATACTGTTGCATATGGATCACTTTATATAGCTAGCTTCAATCAGAGTCGTCAACCGGTTGCAAGCAGCTAGAAATAAATTAAGAAATGATTTTACAATGCCAGGAAAACAAAGTAAAATCCTCGCGATTATTTTCTCCGAAACATTAAAATCCTGGAACTTGTTACACAATACAAAAAATTCCCTCTAATTAACTCTCAGATTGTACACAAAATACGAGCAATTTGGGAAGAGAAGATACGATTATTCGAGCTTTGCGGCTCGTTTTCATAACTGTTGTCAATCGGTGACCATAAAAACGAGCCGCAAGGCGCAAATAATCGTATCTCCTTCTCCCAAATTGTTCATTTTTGTGTGCAATCTGAGCGCGGCAGAATTTACTGTACTACGCGAATCCGCGCAGAAGCAGGACCGAGAGGATCGGGATTGAATCCGAGGCCGATAAAAGCCGAATTACATAATGAACCATTAATCCCGGCGAATCCGATAATTCGACGCGCGATCACGAGCGGACGTCGAGTTCGCAGAGCTTTCCGGGAACGGAGCCGATCGATGTCGTCGTCGAATCGAACAAAAATTCCGCGCGTTAATTCTCCGGTAGAAGAAGAAGTTCAATTACGAATTCGCCTATTGTTTCCCCGGTGGCCAGCCGGGACCGAGTCACAAAAGCGCTCGCCGATGAATGGCAGGCTATCGAGCATGTGCTGGTGGTTGATCGAACGTGGGCCACGAGGTCCGACGGAATTCCCCGTGAAATATGGAAAATGAGAATCGGGGAGAAAACGAGGGACGCCGTCTGTTTCGCAGCGACGCGGGACGTCGCTGTTTCACGGTTGACGCGGCTCTCGGCTCGCCGCGCCGCCATTTCACCCCCGATTCTATTTTCTATTTCACCCCCCTCGAGCCACCCAGGCCGTTCGCGACCCAGTCCGTCGAATTCTCGACGCGACGCGACGCGACGCGACGTCGCGGCGAACGGAAACGGCGGATTGAAAGCCACGGGAACGACAGCTTTTCTATCGAATCGACCCAGTATCGCGATTATTTAGAAAGGCGAACAACGAATTCATTTTCCGCTATGATGGTCGCCGATTGCGAACCTCGTGTTTGCAATAACACCGCGAAGTCCGCGGACTGGGTCTCGATTTGTTCGGACAACCCTCGGCGAAAAGCATTTGAACATCTTTTGAAACGTGATGACTTTTGAAACGCACTAGTTCATTGTAGGATGATTAAGATACGTTGTTTTTTAATCTCGCTATTAGTTGAAATATGCTGTAACAATAGTTTTACAGCGCGTAATTTAATTGCATTATAATTCAATCGCGCAATTTAATTATATCGTAACTCAATCGCGTAATTCGAGTCTTTCGGTTCATTCAATTACTAATTATTTTATTCGCGAGTGTAATTGAAATAGTGCAAAAACGTAGTACAACGTAATTGAAATACATTTCTTCAAATTATACCCGAGAACTTTGAAAAAATGAAACACATTTTGATGTTTCTTCAATTAAATAATTTCTTAATTACGAAAAAAATTAAATTAATATTTGCGAGCGAAATATAAATCTAATTTGTAATTTGTTAATTATGAGTGTAACTGTACAAAGAGGATACCAGGGGATAACAATACTATTCTTCTCTTTGAAACCTTCGCAGGGTTCTTTCAGTCTCTTATTACCTATTATTATCATTTTTTAATTCATAATTTTAATTCGATTACGTATCGTAATTCGAAATTAAATTGCCAGGAAATTGTCTAGCGCGTTTCTCAGTGCGTTGTCCTTTCGATATACTAAATTAACCATTGCGTGGGCAACCCGATCGCTCGCTATAGTTCTCCTCGCACCTTTCCCTGTTCCTCGAGAGATATAAAATCGCTCACGACGTCCCTTCAACTCATGCGCATAATCGTGGACACTAAAGTTCTGCA